AATAAACAACGCATGCTAACTGTGGTTATTAATTCCCATATTCTTTAGTTAGGGAAGTGATGGTGATAGTTATGGTAAAGAGAGAAGTAAAGGGGATAAGAGTAATACATTTCTTCTACCTTTATATCCGTCAGTTGGACCCAGCAACTTCTAATATATATTGTTATTGCCGTAATCCATTCAGTATTATCTTCGATCCATCTTTCTCCTTCGCCAGCTTCGCCATCCACCACTTGCCCGCCGAGGGTCGCCATCGCCATCCACCATCTTCTCCTTTTCTTTCTCCTTCGCCACATCCACCATCGCCATCGCTCCTTCGCCATCCACCATCGCTTCGCCATCCACCATCTTTCTCCTTCGTTTCTCCTTCGCCATCCACATCTCCTTTCTTTCTCCTTCGCCATCCACCATTCGCCATCACCATCTCCTTTTCTTTCTCCTTCGCCATCCACCATTCGCTTCGCCATCCACCATCTCCTTTTCTTTCTCCTTCGGGCGCCATTTTTCTTTCTCCTTCGCCATCCACCATCTCCTTTTCTTTCTCCTTCGTTTTCTCCTTCGCCATCCACCATCTTCTCCTTTTCTTTCTCCTTCGCCATCCACCATTTCCCACTCCTCCTTCGCCATCTCCAGCTGCGAAGAGAAAGCTTTCAAGCTCTTTGCTGCAATCTTTCTTCCTCTTTCATTCTGCCAATCAGTCGCATTCAAGGTCGCGGGGCGCTTAAGTCATCTGCCTTCATCGTCTGTGAGCGAGTCGCACGCAGTCAGCTGTTCATGACTTGCCATGGGTGTTATTTTCCTTTGTGAAGAATGAGTATCAGTGCTGAAATGTGTAAGGATTGCCAGATGAAAGCAAAACCTCGATTTTACGAACGACAGCCCTGAGTAAATGACTTAACCACGCAGTAAAATCAAGGTGTAAAATCAACGAGCATCTCGTCATCTGATGGGACAGAGGCAAGTTATATTTTAATAAAATAAGTGTTGATTTTGAATTACGTGTTAAATATATCAGTTACATAAACATTTGAGAATCACTCGATGAAGATTCATCTTTCGAGAAACTTTCTCTCTAAAAAAAATTTGGGTAAGCAGGAAAAAGAGAAAATAGAAAGAAAATCGAATTAATTCGAGGCATAAAACTGAAAATTACATTTGTATATTAAAAAGCAGCAGGTACAATCTATGTACCCAAAACCATCAATCAGCCAGCAAGTAGCTCAATACCCAAGGCAAGCACCAGCTGGCAGCGTATACCCAAGTAACCACTCTGCAGCAGCAAGTATACCACTTGTAGCAGACAAAATACCCAAGTATACCACTCTGCAGCATGCAGTGTTCTATGCAGCTTGATGCAAATTCGAAAGAGCTCTTGAGCCACAATTCTATCCTGACGAGCAGGCATCATGTCCTCCGGCCCCTGATCTCCGGCTAGAATCCCAGAACTGCCAAGGAAGGAGGGTCTGTGTCGCTTTTCTATGCCGCTTTGCCAGAGGGAATTGTCTGCTGTGACCTGCAAAAGCATTGGTGACCTCAACAAAAAAAAAAAAAAAAATCATAAACCGTAATTGGGGCATGATATCTTGCGCCCAGAGGCTTGCCAATAACTTTTGACAATAAACAAAGCTTATCTTTCGTATTATCTTTTATTTCCATTGTGCTGTTCCTCTATTTTTCAGCGCTTTCCCATCCACTGACAGTGCTCCACTTGTCTCCTCCACCAACCATCCCTCGGTAGCTCGTTTTCTGCTTCATTCATGAGGTCAGATGTGAAAACCTGTCTGAATCATGAAATTCAGGGCCTCCAACACATGCCATAGTGACTAGTTCCATTTGTTTCAAAAATATTGTTCCAGAAAAAAAACTACACTGGATACAGAGATATAGGTCTATATGAGGAGTCTTTCTGAGAGAGACAGATATTCCAATCTGTACTGAAGTAACTGATACTTTTAAGCTTTGGAGTTAGTTGGTTCTGGTGATTTAGACAGCGATTCAGTGTATATCTCTAAATCTATATCTATCTATATAGATTCCATCTGTCAATATCATTATGATTTTTACAGTTTCCATTGCCTCAGACATAGCAGTCGTTACAATCTTTGTATTACACTCTAGGGATATTTTTACTTTTTGGCTAATACAACATATATATCTATATATGTATATATATTCAAATACAAACGCAGACCCGCCCACACACACACGAATATGTATATATATGTGTGTGTGTACATACATACATACATACATATATATATATATATATATATATATATATATATATATATATATATATATATATATATATATATATATATAAACATATATAAACGGCCTCGCCCAATCAGCATCATCGGAAACCCCCTGAAAGTTCCCCAAGAGAAGAAGCAGAAATTCGGACCAGGGCGCGAGGATCCCGGCGAAGGCACCGACGGAGGCGCTGCAGGAGGAGTACCTGACGGAGAAGGAGACGCCCTGGGCAAATTTTTACATTACG